TGAATTTTGTGTATCGTTGCACCCCTAGTAGATACAGTAGTTTTACCACTAGAACAAATATTAAAACAGAACATATCAGAATCTCTTGTTGTGCTTGGTGAAAAGTGATGAAATGCCCCGGAACATTCACAGCATTCAAAAAGTCAAAAGCCTTCATTTTGACCAAATATTGTATTGGTTATGACAAAGACTCTTTTGTTTTTGGTTTGCTTAATTTAGATCTAAAATCTAAAGCAGAGTCACAGAGTTTTTATTGGATTTGTAGTAAATTGGCTTTGAACACCACCTCCCCTCAACGTTAATTGGTTTGACTCCATCTGGACTGAGCTCTCCTTCCCACTTTGTGTTACTGTACCTTCACACCTCATATTTCACACTTGTGTCTTCTCCACACATTTATTTTTACTTGACACTGCAAACGGGAACAAGCTCGTCTGTGATCGTTTCCCAAAAGGATCAGTTGCTCCGGTGACGGTAGCTTCTGGGTGCTTTTACCTATCCTGTCAGTCTTAAAAGAGATATAGTAGACGATTAAACTGGTTATGTCATAATAAAGGTTAGAAGTGCCCTGTTTTTGATTTCATCTATCCTCTGATGACTGAAAATTGGATAATAAATAGAAAAATTATCCAAGGCTGCTGATTGGCAGGGTAAAATAAACAGAGCATTAGCCTTCATGGCTCAGGCCATGAAGGCTAATGAGGTGACATGCCGTTCCCGTCTGTCAGTATCCATTCACAAGTCCGTGACAGCGAACACAAAAGACCAAAAGACCTTTAGCCAGTCAGACACGGCTCCCAAATTGGAGCTAATTGCTTTTTAGCCACAATGTCTTTGGGAAAATCAGAATGTGGCTTGTGTAGAGCTCCCAGTTTAAGCTGAAAGTCTGCGTGACTGTAGCTCAGGTAACTCGCACTTCCTGCCGATTGATTCATCCAAAGCTGCGCTGCTGCCAGTTATCTGTTTAACATCAAGGAGGTTTGACAGGGGTGCTGCTCCTCAGCTGGTGTTGGCAAGAAACCAAAATATCCCATTTACCAAGTGGAGGTTAGTGCTGCGGTGCAGTGATTTCCAACCAAGGCTGTGAGAACGTCAAGGGTTACTTCACAGGGGGAAAGATTAGTTTAATTATCGTGGTTAGCTAAAGAATTGAGCGAACCCGAAGAAGTTTGAGCAGAAAAGTTGACACTTATTGGACAGGAAGTACAAAACAGCAGCCATGATGCTTTTTAAATATTTGATGCATTGGTTTCCAGACAATAAAATATAGAGAAGTCATTAAAAACATCTCATCTGCCTTCTTTCGATGTGGAGTAGTGGCTCCACGCTGACTAAAGCCGGGCATACACTGCGATCTTTGGCCCATTTTGAGATGATTTGTTAGTTGTGCGACCGTTTTTCACCTTAATCGTGTGTCGTGCATCGTGTAGAATACATGTGGTAACGAGAAGCGATCAACAAGAGTTGGATGGACACTGCTGCTCAATCACAGCTGCCTGGTCAATGTTTTTATTAGCAATGTAGCAAAGTTGATGGTTGTGTGTCTGTGTGAGTGAAAGACAGAGCGACAGAGTTTGTGTTATAACCTTCATGTTATGGACGCACAGTTTGAGCACTCAGGTCGCATCAGAGCATCGGGCTGTATAGTGTGAGACCTGCATCGTGACCTATGAACTTCTCAACCCTGCGATTCAATCGTGCAGTTTGAGCAGGAGCTGAATAACACGACTGGAAAAATCTCAGTGTTTGTTCAGCTTAAGTCAAATAACTGAATCTTCACCGTCTCTAAGGGAGTAGCCAGACACCTCTCAGAGAAACCTTCTTTCTGTCACTCGTCTCCACAATCTCATTATTTAGGTGACCACAGAACTCGTCACCATAGGAGAAGGTAGAGACGTGGATTGACATGCTAAAGTTTAAGCTAAGTAGCTTTGGATTTGCATGACCTTTCTGAGAATTCAACAAGAAGCAGTTAAACGCTTCAGTACATACAGGTCATAAACACGAATGCATTAATCAAAAACCTCTTGAAAATGTTCATTCGAAATGAATTAAGGACATGTAGAAACTGCATTTCAGTAGCTTATCAAAGCTTTCTTCATTAAGGTATTTATGCGCTTACCATAACAGAGTTCAAATTGGATTTCAAAAAAAGAATTTGGTCTCTTTTCAACCTTCTTTCAGCCTCTGAGCCCAACCTGAAGCTGCGCTCCCGGCTGAAGCAGAAGGTGAGCGAGCGTAGGAGCAGTCCGCTGCTGCGTCGCCGAGACAGCCCCATCACCACCGCCAAGAAACGCTCGCTCGACATGGCAGGTAAGAGGCAAACGGCTCGCTCAGAGAGTTTTACTCCACACTGCTACTGGTTTCTTGTGTGTTTGATTTGTGTGTCTGCGCGTTTCAGACTCGGCATGTAGCAGCGCACCCGGCTCGGGCCCGAGCTCTCCAAATAACAGCTCCAACAACATCCCCAATGAGAATGGCATCACTGTGTCAGTGTCCAACAACACGGAGGTAACACACGCACACATGTGCTTATGTCTGGTGCTGTTATAGATGCCATTTATCTTTTGTTGTTGTTCTTGTAATTTTAGCATAAAACTTATTCAGTCTGATCTCTGAAACTGTAGCCTGGCTCCTTTGTGCCAGCGATGTGCTGCAGGTTCTCTTATTAGCTTTAAAACATTGCAGCCTGGAGTATGCATGAAGGCTGTGATTGAGGGATGTTCGGATTATTGTTCTGTGGACAAGGAGGCAGGCTGAGGAGCTGGCAAGATGCTATTTGTGGCAGCCATCAGGGGCACTCAGGCAGTGTGGAGGAGGCTCATGTCCGTGACAATTTTACATCAGCAGTGAGGCTGCACATGGAGATCTTTCCCTGTGTGTGGACTTTTTTTTTTGTTATCTGTGTGCAGGAGGTTTTTTCCTTGATGCAAACAAAGAGAAATCATTTAAATGTGTTTTCCAGGCATCTTTGGCCCAGAGGCTGTGCAGCGGTGCTGATCGTGGCTCCGTTAGCCAGCTGTCCCTCTACACTTCCCCATCTTTACCCAACATCACCCTGGGGCTGCCAGCCACTGCCACGGCCACTGCTGCTTCTAATGTAAGGAGGAAACTTGACTGAACAGCTTGCACACTGTGCATCTATCTAACTGTGAATTTGTTTTGTTTAAAGTGCACTGTCTCCAACTATTTATTCAAATCTGCTCGCACGCTCTTGTCCAGGTGACCTCAGCCCAACAGGATGGAGGCCTGCAGCCGGCCCTCTCCCTCAGCCCTCCATTCCTCTCCGGTGGCCACTTGACCCCCTACTTGGCCGAGGCTGGAGCAGGAACAGGCGGGCACGGTGCACACAGTCCCCTGCTCCAACACATGGTGCTCATGGAGCAGAGTCCAGCGCAGAGCCCCCTGGTGACAGGTAGGGGAAACAATCCAGCTTTTATTAAATACCTTAAAGCATAGACTAGATATACATGAAAGACGGTGATAGCCACTGGTTTCCAAATTAGCTATTTTTTTGCAATCACTGTAGTGATTTGAAGGCCGACGTGACCGCATCTGGATGAGAGGGTAGACCTCGGGTGTTACCTGAACCCTGGGGACAGCAAGCTGCCTCCGTTAGATAAACAGAATAAACAAATATACTTAGAGGAGAAAACAGCTGCTTCCCTGGAGTGTCTTTTAAATAAAACTGAATATTGAACAAGATAAAAGAGCACTCAAAGTGGCTAGATCCTTAGCAATGGGTTTGTAAACCTTACGTATGCTTTGTGTAGTTCTCACCCAACTGTGAGCTCATATCTTGAAGGTTCAAACTCAGCCCTGTACCAATCATCTTGGTTTTTGGGGGAGAGACAAGCGGGTGTTGGTATTTACTGATGCTACCAAGGAGCATCCATAGACACAGATACCTGCTAATGAGCGATAATGTGTAAATAAACACGCCACTGACATGTGGCACAATCAGCCATGTGATTTTGTGTTGCTTTTTGATTCATTAGTGACGGAGTCCTTGTGCCTTTTTTGTTTGATTAAGTTATTTAACACTGAACCAGGAAACAGTCAAGCATGTGTCTGCACAGACAAGTTAGCAAAGAGCAAGTTTTTAATTATATCTTTAAGGACTTT